TGTATGTATGTATGTATGTATGTATGTATGTATGTATGTATGTATATATAATCTCTCTCCTATTTATCTATATACAATAGGAGTTTTTCTAGACGTGGTATGGTGTGTATTATCTAAAAACCATTTTGTTTTAAATCTGAATTATTGTGCTTTTTGTTATCTGAGGGTTTTTTGGTAGAATCTGGGTTTATTTGACCACAAAATCTTGGATTAATTTAAGCAGTGCTTGAGTTTAGGACCAGAGCAAACTTTTATCGGTCTCGACCCACCAAGCAACATTCCTGAGGATCCCCTCCAAAACTTCCTAATATAGGTAATCCTCGACTTATGACCACAATGGAATCCAAAAGTTCTGTTGCTAAGCGAGACAGTTGCTCAGTGAGTTTTGCCCCATGTTTCAAGAAGAGACTGGACTGCCATCTTCTCAGAAATGGTGTAGGGTCTCCTGCTTGGGTGGGGGTTGGACTAGATGACCTACATGGTCCCTTCCAACCCTGTTAATCTGCAATATGTAAATATATCAAACTGACTTTCCAGCTGATTAGGACAATGTTGCTTCCAGCATGGAAGATCTATTTTTGCCTTTGCAGATTTGTCTGCTCTGTGTTGCTCGAAAATATGAAAGGATTTTGGAGGCTTTCAAGAAGAGACTGGATTTCCATCTGTCAGAAATGGTGTAGGGTCTCCTGCTTGGGAGGGTGGGTTGGACTAGATGACCTCCAAGGTCCCTTCCAACTTCATTAATCTGTTAAATCTGATATTTATAGTTGCAAGTGAGCAACAAGAAACCCAGAAAACACACAGTGGTTAAAAGGTTAATAAACAGTTTATTTGCATTTTACAAGATCAGTTTCCATACATTCTCAATTAATTTGCCATTAAAGTGCTGAAAAATAGTTTTCTTTGTATTCCTTTTGTTTTATAATCAAGGTACAGTTAATGACAAAAAGATAACAATTTTGCATCTGTCGGGAGGAATTAATGACAAAAATATTTGTTCCTCAGCTAAGAGGACTCTCTTCTTTTACAAAAATAAGAAATATTCAGAAGCAATAAAGAGGGCGTCGTAAGGGTTGAATTGTTTTGCAACAGCGTTTTTTGGACAACAAATAAATTCCATGTGGATATTTGGTTGCAATTGGTTTAATCATTTTATCGAACAAATGAAAAAGTCATTTTTTGTTGCAAAGAAGGCCCAAATTTGACACCTCTTACTTGCTTCTGTATATGTGCAGTGTTTCTTTTTCATAAATCCATAATTTTAAAGGAGAAAACATTTTAGCCCCCTGCAAGTAAAAGCAAAAATAAAATAAACCCCTAGTAGTTAAAATGAACACATTTTCATGGATCAACACTGAAGATACTCAGTGAATTGAAATATATATATAATATATCTCAATCAAAGCTTGCTTAGGTAAACATAAAGCTCTTGTAGCATACGAAGCACAATCTTATGCCCGAGCAAAAGAGAAAATCATCCAAAATACTCCCCTCAAAAAAAAACTGTACATCTATCTTCCTTAAGGCACAGCTTTAAATATCACATAATCCAGGCTTTTCAAAATCCGTCACTTCTCCATCTGCAAAAAATTCACCCCTTTGCTGATCTGTGTGTCTGTGGGGGGGGGATTTTAGATTGAATTCAAACTGATACAGCTGAAAGACCCTGCCGTGGTTTTTTTTAAGGCATTGGCTGCTACTTTTTGAAAAAAGTTTTTCTTTTAAAAAAATTTTCTTTTTTTAAAAAAAGAAAGAAAGGCGGATATTCTCAGTGCAATTCCCCCAAAGACCACTTTGGGAAGAATTTAGGAGATATTCATGACCCCAGCAAAAGGGTCAGAAATTTCTGGCAGGCTCTATAATGCTGCGTGTCGTGGCCTCGCCGTGAAAAAACGTGCCGATGATACATTAAAATTGTTTGCCTTCTGCCCTGGACCACCGCAAATGCCCCCTGCTGTATCAGTTTGGAATTGATTTAGATCTCGGGAAGATAGAAATCTTTGAGTGGAACCTGCCCCTATTCACAGTAAAACAGGAATCACTTTGCTCTCAAAACCCTAGTATTTCACTGTAGATCACCTGTTTCATTGCAAAGTATTTGAAGCCGGAAGGGAAAATATATATATATATATATACAGAGGGAGAAGGAGAGCGCGATGGGGCGAGAGGGACCTTATGTACAGGAAGGGGTGTTATGTACATATGCGTTTTCCTGGACTACTCTTTCTTTTTCGCCACCGTCAATTCCACCACCGGCACTCGGAAGCCAGCTTTCGTCCCGCTTTCGTTACTGGAGGACGAAGAGAGCCGCGATTTTTTGGACTCGAGGGAGGCGCCGCTGCCTTGGGTTCTCCCTGCCTCGTCGTCACTTCCCGTGACCTCGTACGACCCTTTGCTTTTTGACCCGATCCCGCCAAATGTGCCAAATTTGAGCTTGGCATGCTTGCTTTTGTCTCCTTCATGCTCCAGCGTGCCGGTCGGGGTGGAGTGCGAGGAGTGCTCGTCACTAAAGGAGGACGACCGGTGCCGGGACTTTTTGGTCTTAAAGAAGGAGAATTTTCCTTTGGGTGACGCGGCTGCTTCCCCTACTTCCACCTCACCTTCTAAGGACCCTAAACTTGCTTTGAGCTCTCCTTCAACCCCGGCCCCAGATGTTGAGATTTCTGGAGAGCCCACACTTCCTTTGGCTTTGGGTTTGGAGAAGCCAAACTTGGGCATTTTGATTTTAGATTTCTTCAGTTTCAGGTCAGGTTCTTCCAACTCAACTGTTACTGCCTCAACGTGGAGACTTGCTTGGGGTGGGTGAGGAAACTCGACATCGACCCCGACTTCCCTTCCCACTGGTTCCTGCCCTGCCACCACAAATTTCGGGATTTTCATTTTAGGGAAGGACACCTTGCCAGTTGAACTTTCTACATGGCCTTGTGGAGCCTCCATCCCAAAAGAAGGACCTTTGAGACATAATTTGGGATCGCTGAGATCACCCCCTATCTTTGGTCCAGAAAAGCGAAGGTCCCCTGTCCCTTTGGCGCGCATGGGTATCTCCGGCGCTTTGGCCTTGGGCCCTTTCAGATTGACCTCAAAGTCTGGCCCGGAAACTTTTGGACCTGAGACATTGAGGGAAGGTCCTCTCAGGCAGATATCCGGGGTCCCAGTGTCTAAGTCCAGGCCAGAAATCTTCATGCCTGGCATTTCCAGTCCACCGTGTTGACCTTTCAAGTCAGTAGCAAACTGGGTGTCTCCTTTCAAACTTGGTCCTTTCATGTTCAAATCAAAGTCAACTTCAGGTCCTTTGATCTGTGGTCCTGAAATGCCGCCCCCTTCACCAGCGATGGCAAACTGCGGAAGTTTCATGCAGGGAAGTTTAACTCCGCCTCCAGAGCCTTCCACTTGGGGGGATGTCATGCTACCAGAAACGCCGAGATCTCCTTTGATCTTTGGTCCTTTCAGATTGATGTCCACCTCAGGTCCAGAGAGGCCTCCTTCCGAAGTCATCTTCACTTTCGGCCCTCTCATGTCAACATCTGGAGCTGTTAGATGGACGTCTAGACCCGAAGGCTTTTGCATCTGAAACTTCCCTTCAAATCCACTGACACCAACATCTGGCATGCCCACGTCCATCTTCGGAGCTTTAATCTCACCAGAAAAACCCAGGTCTTTCCCTAGCTTTGGTCCTTTCAGGCTCATGTCCATTTCAGGAATGCTTGCCTCTCCTCCAATTCCCGGGGAAGAGACGTCAAGGTGTGCAGAGGGCAACTGTCCTTGAATGTCGACGTCTGGCCCTTCCAGGTTGACTCCAGGCTTCCCAAATTTTGGCAAGCTGAACTTGGGGAATTTCAGCTTCCCTCCTGGACCTTGGATCTCAGCACTTGGGAGATCGACATCACCTTTCAGCTTTGGTCCTTTCAAATGAACATCGACACCTGGGGCAGAGAAGGAAGGTGCGGAAACATCCACGGAGGGTACGTTGACTGATGGACCTTTCAGGTTGATGTCAGGAGTGGCGAGGTTGACCTCAGCGCTGGGGATTCTCACATCTCCTTCCAATTTAGGACCCGTCAGGCCAATGCTTTCACCTGAGAGCTTGAACTCAGGACCCTTAAGATTGGGACCTCCAATGTTGACGCTTCCACTGGGAATGGAAGCTTCAAGACTGGGCGACTTCAGACTGGGTGACGTCACATCTATTCCCGGCATCTTGACCTCTCCTTCCACCTTAGGCATAGAAGCATCAGCCTTGAACATGGGTGATTTGATATCAAACTCAACATCAGGAAACGAGAGTTTTCCAAATACTGGTTTCTTTCCCTTGGGGGATTTGATGTTGGCATCCGCTTTGAGGGATGCTTCTGGGACCGAGAGGCTTCCTTCCAAATCTGGCGATTTCACATTGGCGTCTATTTCTCCACTCACATCAAAACCACCCTTCTTGCCTTTGACTTTGCCTCCACTCATGTGGATTTTGGGCATTTTGAACTTGCTTTTCTTCCCTTTGGCAGAAATGGCAACATCTGGCGACTCGATGTTCAGCTCAGCTTCAGGAAGAGACACGTCCACAGTGGGGGACTTCACCTCAGCCTTGGGGCTCTTTGCTCCAAACCCAAATTTTGGCATCTTAAATCTGGGGAGTTTCACATTGCCCTCTGGCCCTTCGGCATTCACATCCGGACATTCCAAGTCAATCTCTGGACCTTTTGCTTCAATTCCTGGTCCTTGGATGGCCATTCCTGGAACAGAGACATCCACATCCCCCTTCACCTTGTGACTGTTCAGATTTAAGTCAATTTCTGGCATGGAGATCTGAGGGGTTTTGAAATGCATTTCTGGCATTTTCACCCCAGGGCCCTTCCATTGTCCTTCTGGTCCTTTGATGTCCAAACCTGGAGCTGCGATTTTCACATCGGCACCAGATACTTTCAACTCTCCTTCGGGTAGGTTGGCGTCCAACTGAGGTCCTTCTCCTTTGAACTCGGGGATGCCAAATTTAGGAAGCTTCATCTTGGGTAATTTTACTTTTCCATCTGGACCGTGGATATCAACAGTGGGAGCCGCAATGTCAATTTCAGGACCTTTGAAATCTCCTCCGAGTTTTCGTCCGCTGACATCGCCTTTCAGACCAAGCTGTACATCAGGCATAGAGATTTGAGGGCCTTTCATCTGCATTTCAGGCATCTTAATTTTGGGGCCTTTCCAACTTCCTTCTGGACCTCCAACTTCGATGTCTACTTTGGGACCTCTGATGTCAACGTCAGGAGCCTTCAGGTCAGCCTCCAACGTAGGCACAGAAATATCCACATCTCCTTTCATTCTGGGACCTTTGAGGTTCAAATCAAAGTCTGGCATGGAGATCTTGGGAGCTTTGATGTTCATTTCGGGCATCTTAAACTTGGGACCTTTGAGTTTTCCCTCAGGACATTGCAAATCCACATCAGGTATGGAGGCATCCAGTTGAGGGCCCTTGATATCAAGATCTGGCCCCTTCAAATCAGCATCTAGGTTGGGAGCAGATACTTCCAGATTGACATCTCCTTTCAGTTTAGGGCCTCTGAGGTTGAAGTCCACATCTGGCATGGACATTTTGGGGGCCTTGATGTTAAATTCAGGCATCTGAAATTTAGGGCCTTTCATTTTGCCTTCAGGTCCTCTAATATCAATGTCAGGAGGATTTATCTGAGGAACGTTAATGTCTATTTCTGGACCTCTCAGGTCACCTTCCATCTTTGGGACAGAAACATCCACATCTCCTTTCACTTTTGGACCTTTGAGGTTCAAGTCAAAGTCTGGCATGGAGATTTTGGGAGCTTTGATGTTCATTTCGGGCATCTTAAACTTGGGACTTTTCCACTTCCCTTCAGGACCTTCAATTTCTACATCTGGTGCATCAATGTCCAATCTGGGACCCTTGATATCCACATCTGGACCTTCTAGCTTTGGAACGGAAACATCCACATCTCCTTTCAGTTTTGGACCTTTGAGATTCAGATCAATGTCAGGCATTGAGATCTTTGGGGTCTTGAAGTGCATCTCAGGCATCTTAAACTTGGGACCTTTCACTTTTCCTTCTGGGCCTTCAATGTCCAAACATGGAGCTTCAAGTTCAACTTTTGGGACAGAAAGATCAAGATCTCCTTTGGGGAGGCTTACGTCTATTTCTGGCCCTTCCCCTTTGAAGCCAGACATTCCGAATTTGGGCATCTTGAATTTGGGCATCTTCAACTTTCCTTCTGGTCCATGAAGTTCAACATCAGGTGCATCAATGTCCAGTGTGGGACCTCTGATATCCACATCTGGCCCTTTTAGGTCACCTTCCAGTTTGGGAACAGACACATCTACATCTCCCTTCAGTTTTGGACCTTTGAGGTTCAGATCAATATCGGGCATTGAGATCTTTGGGGTCTTGAAGTGCATTTCAGGCATCTTAAATTTGGACCCTTTCACTTTTCCCTCTGGGCCTTGAATGTCCATACATGGTGCTTCCAGTTCAACTTTGGGGACAGAAATATCAAGGTCTGCTTTTGGGAGGCTTACATCCACATCTGGGCCTTCCCCTTTGAAGCTCGGGATGCCAAACTTGGGCATCTTGAACTTTGGCATTTTGAGTTTTCCTTCTGGACCATGTAGGTCGACATCTGGAGCATCAATATCTAGCTTTGGACCTTTGATGTCAATTTCTGGGCCTTTCAAATCACCCTCTGGAACTGAGACATTCAGGTCTCCTTTCAGTTTGGGAGCTTTTAGGTTTACATCCACATCTGGCATGGACATTTTAGGAGTCTTAAAATGCATTTCTGGCATTTTAAATTTGGGTCCTTTCCACTTCCCTTCTGGGCCTTCAAGATCAACATCTGGAACATCCACATCTAGATTGGGCCCTTTGATGTCAATGTTGGGGCCCTTCAGATCACCTTCCAAGGTTGGTACGGAGACATCTACATCTCCTTTCACTTTTGGACCTTTGAGGTTCAAGTCAAAGTCTGGCATGGAGATTTTGGGAGCTTTGATGTGCATTTCGGGCATCTTAAACTTGGGACTTTTCCACTTCCCTTCAGGACCTTCAAATTCTACATCGGGTGCATCAATGTCCAATTTGGGACCCTTGATATCCACATCTGGACCTTCTAGCTTTGGAACGGAAACATCAACATCTCCCTTCAGTTTTGGACCTTTGAGGTTCAGATCAATGTCGGGCATTGAGATCTTAGGAGCTTTGATGTGCATTTCAGGCATCTTAAACTTGGGACTTTTCCACTTCCCTTCAGGACCTTCAATTTCTACATCTGGTGCATCAATATCCAATTTGGGACCTTTGATATCCCCATCTGGACTTTCTAGCTTTGGAACAGAAACATCCACATCTCCCTTCAGCTTTGGACCTTTCAGATTGAAATCAACATCTGGCATAGAGATCTTTGGGGTCTTGAAGTGCATATCAGGCATCTTGAATTTAGACCCTTTCACTTTTCCTTCTGGGCCTTCAATGTCCAAACTTGGTCCTTCAAGTTCCACTTTTGGACCAGAAAGATCAAGATCTCCTTTAGGGAGGCTTACATCCACATCTGGACCTTCTCCCTTGAAGCCGTGCATTCCAAATTTTGGCATTTTGAATTTTGGCATCTTCAACTTTCCTTCTGGTCCATGAATTTCAATGTTAGGTGCATCAACATCCATTTTGGGACCTTTGATATCTACATCTGGCCCTTTAAGGCCACCTTCTAACTTGGGAACAGACACATCCACATCTCCCGTCAGCTTTGGACCTTTCAGGTTGAAATCAACATCTGGCATAGAGATCTTTGGAGCTTTGATGTGCATCTCAGGCATCTTAAATTTGGGCCCTTTCACTTTTCCTTCTGGACATTCTAAGTGAATGTCTGGTGCTTCCACATCCAGTTTAGGAGACTTTATATCAACCTGAGGTCCTTCAAGATTGCCTTCAATATTTGGTACCGTTACATCCATCTGTCCTCTTGCTCCAGGTCCTTTGATGTTCAAATCTACATCAGGCATGGAGATCTTCGGTGCTTTGATATTTAGTTTTGGCATCTTAAATTTGGAACCTTTCAGCTTTCCTTCAGGACCTTCAATATCAAATTCTGGAGTTTCCACGTCTATCTTTGGACCTGAGATGTCAATTTCTCCCTTTGGCAAGCTTAGGTCTACATCAGGCCCTTCTAATTTTGGGCCTGAAACAGTAAAAATTGGCATCTTCAATTTTTGCATTTTTAGTTTCCCCTCACTCTGGAGATCAACGTCTGGACCACTTAGCTCTACTGTAGGCCTCTTGATATCAATGCTGGGTCCCTTGAATTCTCCTTCTAATGTTGGAATAGAAACATCCATATCACCTTTCACTTTTGGACCTTTCAAATTGAAGTCAACATCTGGCATGGAGATTTGGGGTGTTTTGAAATGCATTTCAGGCATTTTAAACTTTGGACCTTTCAGTTTTCCTTCTGGGCCTTCAATGTCCACACTTGGCATATCGATATCTATTTTTGGCCCTGAAACATCCAAATCTCCTTTGGGAAGGTTCACATTGACATCAGGACCCTCTCCTTTCAACCCAGGTGTTCCAAATTTTGGTAACTTCATCTTGGGTATCTTCAACTTGGCTTCTGGGCCTTCGAGTTCAACATCTGGGAGATCTATATCCAATTTTGGTGCAGCAAGATTGGGTCCTTTCAAATCTCCTTCTAGTTTTGGAACCATTACATCCATTTCACCCTTCATTTTGGGGACTTTGAGATCTACATCTGGCATGGAGATTTTGGGAGCTTTAATATTCAACTTGGGCATCTTGAATTTGGATCCTTTAATTTTTCCTTCAGGCCCTTCCAGCTCTAAATCAGGGACATCAACATCTAGTTTAGGACCTTCAATATCAACCTGGGGTCCCTTAAGTTCACCTTCTATTTTTGGTCCAGAAATGTCTGCATTCCCTTTCCATTTTGGCCCTTTTAGATTCAAATCAACATCTGGCATTGATATCTTTGGTGCATGAATATTAAACTCAGGCATCTTAAATTTGGATCCTTTTAGTTTTCCTTCTGGGCCTTCAATGTCCAAACTTGGTCCTTCAAGTTCAACCTTTGGACCAGAAAGATCAAGATCTCCTTTAGGGAGGCTTACATCCACATCTGGACCTTCCCCTTTAAAGCTGAGCATTCCAAATTTGGGCATCTTGAATTTGGGCATTTTCAACTTTCCTTCTGGTCCATGTAGGTCAACATCTGGAGCTTCAATATCTAATTTTGGACCTTTGATATCAAATTCTGAACCTTTTATGTCACCTTCTAATTTTGGAATAGAAACATCAATGTCTCCTGTGAGTTTGGGCCCCTTTAGATTGAAATCAGTTTCTGGCATGGAGATTTTAGGACCTTTAACATGCGTTTCTGGCATCTTGACTTTGGGACCTTTAATTTTACCTTCTGGTGCTGCAAGGTCCCATCCTGGGGCTGCAATATCTACTTTCGGACCAGAGAAATCAAGACTGCCCTGAGTAACACCAATGTCCACATCAGGAATTTCGCCTTTCAAGCTGGGCACACCAAATTTGGGCATTTTCAGTTTGGGCATTTTGAGTCCAGGGCCATGGAGGTCAACATCTGGTGCTACAATGTCTACTTTCGGAGCCTTGATGTCCACAGCTGGGCCCTTCAGTTCTCCTTCCATTCTGGGTATGGAAACACCCATGTCCCCCTTGACTTTGGGGCCTTTCAAATTTAGGTCAATGTCTGGAATGGAGATTTGTGGAGTTTTGATATGAGGCCCTTTCAGTTGACCTGAAGGACCTTTGATGCCGATTCCAGGAGCTGCAATGTCCACTTTGGGGCCTTTCAAATTTAGGTCAATGTCTGGAATGGAGATTTGTGGAGTTTTTATATGAGGCCCTTTCAGTTGACCTGAAGGACCTTTGAGGCCGATGTCAGGAGCAGCAATGCCCACTTTGGGGCCTTTGAGGTCTATCTGTGGGCCCTTCAAGCTGCCTTCTACTTTGGGCACAGAAACATCCACACCACCCTTTAATGGTGGCCCTTTCAGGCTCAGGTCGAAATCTGGAACTGAAATCTTTGGTGCTTCAATA